GCTCCTGGCCTTACTACTAGGAGCAAATCGCCAGTAGCGAACCTTGCTCCGTTCGTAGCGATGCCCTTTGTTCCTAGCTTCTTGTTACTCCTGGCAAATGCAGCTTTTTCAAGAACTAATTTCAGGTTTTGCAAATCCTTCCAAAAATCTAGAATCTATCCCCTGCATGTCCCATACAGGCTGCAGTGTTTCTGCTTGTGCTCTTGTGAAAAAGAAACATGTTGTCGACAATGTTGTTGCTCAACGAATTTGTCCCACCCCTTCTCGTGGTCTGCACACTCTCTCTTCTAGCAAAGCTGGCAATGAAGTTGGACAACAACTTGGGCCATTCAGTTTCATGGCGATCTTCTCCGCTGTTCTTGACGCTCAAAATAGTCAACCTGGCGATGCCCTGGAGCCCCGTTCGTAGCTTCTTGTTCCGAGTAAGGCCAGGGTCGCCCCGTTCGGTTCGCGTCCGTTGACCGCTCCGACGTTTCCACCTCGTCGTCGCCCAACTCCTGGAGAGAGTCCTGAGACGCGTGACGAACGCGTGACGAACGCGGTGGACCACGACGCGGGAACCGCTGTTCTAGGCCGCAAAAGCTGCGTTGTGGCAGGTTGAACCAGCTCCAAATCGGGCAAAGTGCTATTCAATGGACGTCTTGCCACGAAACTCCCTCGTTGATGTTGCCATTCCGAGAAGAAGGCATGGTCTCTGGTGGCGGTGCCCACTGCTTGAGAGGATAGATCGGATGTAAACTTGAGACCACCCAATTGGTCACCATCCACTTAGAGTGGCCTTGTTCTGCTCCATGATCTCAGCGAGGCTCGGGAGGGCCAAAGCATAGTCCTTGCAAGGTCATTTCCAAATCTTTGCGAGCCCTATTGCTTCTAGGTTGGAGGCCGTCGCTACTAGGTTGGAGCCATTGCTATTGGGGTGGAGGCCATCGATAGTAGGGTGGAGGCCATCACTGCTAGGTTGGAGGCCATTGCTATTGGGTTGGAGCTCAGAAGAGTCTTCTAGTCATGGACTAGTTCGTGTTGAAACTAGGTCTTGCTGCGGCGCCGCCGTGCTCTGGTTTGAAACTAGTCCTCCATGCGATGCCCATAGATTGAATACCGTTGAAATGGAGGCAAATATCTGGGAGACATGTTTATTCCCTTTTGCACAAGTAAGGTTCGTCCAGTTTACCGACAAACACACAAAGCACGTGGAAACCAACTCAAGCCACTTCCTCTTCAGGACATCCACTGGTACAGGCGGGCTGCCAAAACATCCCTAAGCTTCACGCAGGTTGCACATAGCCGGCGAAGCAAGTGAGTTCGTTGTGGTCAAAGAAGCCCTCACGAGCAATTGATTCTCAGTCTCTCCTTTGGCCTAGGGACTCCAAGCCTGGTGGTCTGACTTGCTGTGGACTCTTTTTGCGTCGAACTCGTGGATTTGCTGGTCTCAGCTTCGTTCGTAGCTTCTTAGTTCCGGGAAGCAGTGACGAATGCTCCGTTCGTCACCGGCGATGCCCCGTTCGTCCCGCTCCGCTCCGTTCGGTTCGCTTTTCGCGTGACGGGTCTCCCCGGTGGCCTCTGGCTCGAACCTGGAGGACTCCATCACCTCCTGGCGCGCGCGGTGAGACCGTCTCACCGACCGCGCGCGGACCGCGGGACCGTTCGGAAGTCGGAGGACTTCGGAGGACTTCGGAGGACTTCCAGCAGCAAAGTCTTTTTCTTTTTGTTTGTTTTCAGCCCGAAGTGCAATCTCGACAGAGCATTGACAATCCAAGGTACACTTGGGTCTTGGGTCCAATGTCCAATGATTTGCCTCTTGGTGTGTCTACTTGTTCAAGAGCCTCAACTGGTCTCTCAATGTGCTTGTCTTTGCCTCAACTGGTCTCCCCATAGGCAAAAAGCCGGACCCCAAACCACTCACTGCCAGATCCATGCGGAAGATCGCCCGACCGAGTGGTTGGCCGGTCGGGTCGACCACGTGCGCTGCTCCGCCCATCCGCTCCTTCCGGTGGAGTTTGCAGGCATAGGGGCCACGAAGAAGCTGAAAAGGCTTGTAGACGTTCCCTCGGTCGGTTCCGCTACCGCTCGGTCGGAGTCTCTGTTTTTTCCCGAAAGCATTGCGAAGGGTTCTTCCGGAAAATCCTTTGAACACTGACACTTCGACACGTACACTTAGACACACCTAGACATTGACACTTTCACCACACACCTAGACATTGACACTTTCACCACACTGGCAGGATAAATAACATGAACGCTATACGTAGCCCTGTGTAAGTGGAGGAGCGAAAGCTGTGAAAGTATGCAAGTGGAAGTATGCAAGTGTAAGTATGCAAGTGATGAGTATGCATGCAATGATGAGTATGTATGCAATGAGTATTGCAAGCACGCAATGAGTAGGCAAGTGAAAAAGTATGGAAAACTAGCACGGGAGATGTCCTAATGAAAAAACCTTTCCCCACTTTATAAATTCTCTTTTCAAGGCGGAGGGCGGGACGAACAGCGTCAACCGAAAGTGCAACCCTCTGCGGAGATCGTGCGTGTCGAGTGCGCGAAATGCAGGCGCGAGTGCGATTTGCCGGGTGTGCGCGCAACCCTCTGCGGAGATCGTGCGTGTCGAGTGCGCGAAATGCAGGCGAGAGTGCGATTTGCCGGCTGTGCGCGCAACCCTCTGCGGAGATCGTGCGTGTCGAGCGCGCGAAAGCAATCTGTGGAGCTGGAAGCTGAGAACTGGCGACTTTGTAGTACAACTTTAGTACGCAGAGTAGCTGGGGAGCTGGAAGCTGAGAACTGGCGACTTTCTAGTACAACTTTAGTACGCGGAGCAATCTGTGGAGCTGGGAGCTGAGAACTGGCGACTTTGTAGTACAACTTTAGTGCGCGGAGAAATCTGTGGAGCTGGGAGCTGAGAACTGGCGACTTTGTAGTACAACTTTAGTACGCGGAGTAGCCGGGGAGCTGGAAGCTGAGAACTGGCGACTTTCTAGTACAACTTTAGTACGCGGAGCAATCTGTGGAGCTGGAAGCTGAG